GAGGTGGAGGCAGGAGACTCGCTTGAGCCCAGGAGTTGGAGATTGCTGTGAGTGATGCCACAGCATTCTACCTAGGGGGACAGCTTGAGACTCCGTCTCAAAAAAAAAAAGAAAAAAAAAAGAAATCTGCAGCACCCAAAGCTCAGTGGGTAGGGCAGCGGCCACAGACATCAAGGCTGGCAGGTTTGAACTTGGCCTGGGCCAGCTAAAAACAACAACAACTGCAACAACAAAAAAGAAAAAGCTACCCATCGTGGTGGGCGCCTATAGTCGCAGCTACTTGGGAGGCTGAGGCAAGAGAATCACATGAGCCCAGGAGTTTTGAGGTTGCTGTGAGCTGTGATGCCATGGCAACTCTACTGAGGGTGACATAGTGAGACTCTGTCTCAAAAAAAAAAGGGGGGGGGGAACCCAGGGAGATCAGAGAAAGCAAGAATTCTATATTTAGTGAAATAAAAGTATTTTAAGACAATCAAAAGCTGAGAGAATCACCAGTAGACCTGCTATACAAGCAATGTTAAAGGAAAATGATACATATAGAAACTTGGATCTACATAAATGTGAACTAGGAATCTGCACAAACTATAAATGGTTGATATGTGGCTAAATGTCTGCTTGCATTTCAATTTTAAAAAATATAATTGACTGCTTAAAATAAAAGCAATAGTGATGTATCATGAGGTAAACATATGACAACAAGAATGCAAAAGATGAAAAGGAAAATAAAAATATAATGGTGTTAAGATACATTATATATAAAAAGGTATATTATTTGAAAGTAGTCTATAATAAACTAAAAAGGCATATTGTAACCTCTGCAGAGGTGTTCAACCTATAGCCCAAAGGCCACATGCGGATTATTTGAGGACTGTTTTGCTTATCTGTGGTGTCGGATATCACAAAAAGTATGCATGGACCTTTGCTTTTTTTGCTCATCAGCTTTTGTTAGTGTTTATGTATTTAATGTGTGGCCCAAGAGTACTCCTCTTCCCATCAGTTGCAGAGAAGAAAAAAAGTTGGACACCCCTGCTACAGCAACTGCCAAAGAAAATAAACAAAAACAAAAAAACCCCAAAACTATCAAAGAGGTAAAGCTAATAAGCAACCAAAGACAATTACATTAAATACTAAAAAGAAAAAAAAATGCACTTAAAAGCAGGAAGAGAGGGAAAATATAAGAACAAGGAACATATGGAACAAAAAGCAAGCTTAGGCTTGGCACCTGTGGCTCAAGCAG